CTTTTCAACCTTGAAGGGGGAATTGAGGAAAGGTTCTTAGAGAGCAGCAAGGGTTCGATTCGAAGGGTTTGGAAAGAGACGGCCAAACCATCCAAGGTATTCCAAGAATTTCCCAGATATGATATATTCACTTCTTTGCTGGTATTCAAGTATTCCAGATAGAGTTTTGACATTTAGCGGGCAATTTGGGCTTTGAAACAGGGTCACATGAGATGATATTTCTTGACACGTCGGGCTACACACGTGACTTCACAGCATTGGTGGTGTTTTGTGCTGCCTACACTCTGTTTGATCCTACAACCATATGGAAGCCACCGCTCTATCAGTGAGCAGGTGAACCCCACAGCACAACTGCCCTCCACACACAGCCGGCGAGCCGATGTATTGGTCTTGCCGCGTGTTCGTTTTTCTTCTGAGGGGAAACTGTTCAAATGTGTATTGTGCAGCTTCTCTTTGATGACTCATTTCGCGATGATTGCGCCTCTATGCGACCACCCCCAGCTCGCAGCAGCTTGCACTTGTACACGCAGGCGTCCAACAAGATGCGCTTGGATGTGGACGAGAAGCTTTGCTCTGCACCATCCACCCAATCGGAGGCTCCATAAGAAGGACAATCCGACCAATGTGGTAAGTGGTAAAGTCCAAATTCATGGTACTTCACATCCAGCATAGCATAGGAACAAGATGAAACAGATGCCCTGGACATTTCAGGCAACCAAGACACTGCACAGGAAGGTAAGACCACCCAAACCTGCGATGCGCAGGTGTCCCCGAAGGCACCTGACCCGCCGCCGGTCTCCCTTTTGCAGGCGACCGTTGTTGTCGGACGACTTGATTTGGTTGCCTTGGAAAGCTAGACTCCCCATAAAGTACCATATATATATATATAGTAACCACATGTACACACTTAAGTCACGTTATCGAACCAAGCAGGCCTCAGCATACCTTGCGACCTTCGAACAGTCATTCATCTGAAGTTTTGGGTCACCTCAAGGGCCCCCTTGATTTGGGGACATTCAGGGTGTTACATTGGGACGACAAGTTGCATTGGTGGCGCCCTGGCTGAGCAATGCATCACCATCATTCATGGAATGTTGTTCTTCTTTCTGTCCCTTTCATCCAATTTCTGTCCTTTCAACCCCATTCTTGAAGCTCCATAGCTTTGCTCTCTGCTCGAGTGGATCAACCCCCCCCCCGCGACGACCGGACCAGGCCAGCCCAACCTCTCCGTCCTCCGCAGCGTCCCCGCGGCCGCGACCGCCTCCCGAGGCGGGACCCGCTTAGTCTCCCTGAAATCGAAGTGGAGAACCAGCTGGTGGTATAGAGCAATGAACCAACAGGTGGATTTCAGGTGGATACCACCTGGTGGTATAGAGAAGATCTGTTTTCTTTTTTCAGGATTTCATTGAGCCCGTGTTTACTTCCATGAGTTCAGGGAGTGTCGATCTATACAAGCACTGGCTTAGCAGTAAAGGAAGGTCAAAGCGATGCCTGTTTCTGGACTCGGGTCAGTAACAAAGTCACAAGTCCGTTTGACCTGGGGGTCTTCCCTCCCTGGCTCCACTGACCTTCAAACTCGCTTGAGCAGACGGCATGAGAAGGCCATGAAAGCACACCAAATCGGATTGAATCATTGGGATTGGTCGGGCAGGGCAGGCTCAAGTTGGAGCTGCAATGACTACACTCCCTCAATCTGACATACCCACAAGTAGAATTGGACAATCTTGCTTTCACAGGTGGTTCCTATAGTTTGGAGGAGGGTCGCGATTTTGCCGCGCTGTTCCGCAATCTTGCCGGGTTGCTTTGGGTCTTGTTCGCTGATCGCGATGCATTTGCACCGGCCCTCAGGTGCCCAGCACGCCTGTTGCGGTCCCCCCACCGCCGCCGCTGTCACCCAAGGAGGCCTGGTTTGCCATCAAAGGGGCTGTGGAGACCGGAGTGGGATATCTGTTGATGTGCTACAGTGGGAGAAAGTTAGAGGTGTATGTATCATCAATTTTGTTCCCTTTCAATCATCACCAACAGACCCTGCCGTCAGATTTGAGCATGTTGTCCTGCAATTAATCGATGAGATGACTTGACATCACAGTTGGGATAACCTCAGAGAACTACATCTCCCATTATTGGATGCCTTCCTTCACTTCAGGCTCCTCCGCCACCGCCTGAACCGGCCCGGGGCCTTTTTCACGAGTCTGACAGGTAAAAAACACAGTAGTGCAGGGATTTAGCAAGCAAGATTTCAAGATCCCTGGAAATTCATTGGAGCACATTGGGCCAGCAGGCTAAGGTCACCCAGATTTCTCGAAACTCGGATGCCCTAAAGGGAACAACTTGGATAAATGGAGAGGCCAGGCCATTGAGAGTTTTGTACGGCCCATGAAAGTCATTTGCCCAGCTGGTTTGGGCAACACCATGTTGCTGGTCATTTTCCAGTGCATACGTGGGCGTGCTTTCTCTTCTTCAATTCTTCCCATCGGGGGAGTATTTTTGATGCGTGATCGCCCAGGACCACGCGTTCGTCATGCACTCATAATGTGGTTTCCATTGGCCAGTTTAAAATTTGTTGCAGAAAAAATGGGCCCACAAGGAGGTCATTTCTGTTAGAGGCGGAAAACACCTATTCATCCATTACTTGTAGAAATAGAATATGACGGACAAACTTAAATATGCTCTGAAGGTGTATGTCGCAGTACCAAACAGGTCGATAGCGGGGTAGAGCTCCGCCCTGTTGCCCACGTGAATTCGACTCGGACCACAAGGCGAAGGACTGGCCAGGAAGTGTGAAGCGCGGAAGGCGATGTCGAAACTCAAAGACTGCCGACACATCGGGACTCGCTGCTTCCGGAACAGTGTCAGCATCCCAGCTAATGGTCCCACTAGCTAGAGTCAGGAGGCAATTTCAGTCATCTATTTGCTTGATTTACAGTGGTGCAGTCGAAAAGATCCATCATACAACGTCACTTAGTGGCTTTGCGGGACAGTTGTAAAGCTACTGCTGTTTTGGAGGTTCAAGTCCTTTAGCATCGAGAAGGGTTTTGGCTTCATCTACCTAGAGGCGCGAGGTCGGCGATTGGATCGAAGGGACAAGTGGATTCAAGGCGCCTGGGCTTGAGGAAGTTGGGGAGCAAATCATCCAAGATAGGAGAGCGGCATGGAGCGCGGAGCTGCGCTGAAACGTTCCAAGGAGAAAGATGTTCCTTGCTGCTGAAGCCGGGGTGTTTCCAAGTGGGGTCGATCATCCGGCGATCCGGAGCCACTGAGACAAGTATGACATGTATTTATATATATATATATATTATATATGACTATGACTTGTACTAGCTTCAGATTCATCGCCATCGTACTTCATGTGGGTGATTTTCCCCACCCACCCCACCCAGGTTGACCAACAGACCACGACTAGACCCCAAGCTGCAAGGAAATGGTTGGTCTTAATCCCTGCCCACAGCTGGGGCAAGGGATGAAGCTCCTGAGTATCCGTCAATCATGTCGCTCTTGATGTGTTATTCATTCTCAAGCAGCTACAACCCGCTCCAAATCATGGTGACATCGCTTCACCCGAGTACACTCAAGCCAAGTCAAGCCATCTTCAGGATGAGACGCCGCGTTCGAAGGCCATGAGAACGTGTTTCCTGTTGGCACTTCGTTCGCAGGAGAACGTGGACGTCTTTGCCCACATCAGCGTTTTTCAGGGGCCAAAGCCCGAGGACTTCTCCGGGCTTCCTGGCATGTCGGAGCCTCACGACCGGTCACTGATCAAACCGCCGTGGACCGGCGAAGCAGGCGATTGGATCAAAGCCCTTTGACATGGGCACGCCTAAATTACATATCAACTCCCTAGAAAGACTTTGATTGAACAACCAATGAGGATTGTTCCACAAAGGTTCGTTTGAGGCGATGGTTCAGGTGTCTTCCAGCCATGTAACGTTAAGTTTGCAGAGGGCACATATTGTGCGGAAACAGTTTTCTTGAAGGAAATGCCATGAAATGCCGTAATACATGAAGACGAGAATGAAGGACTATTAAAATGGAAATGATATGCTCAGACACGGAGAGGCCTCATGAAAAGAACCATTCACAAAGGACGAGATGTTCAATCAACAGGACGTTCCTTGTGCAGAGGAGAGGCTGCTCTTATGAAGAGGGGCTTTTGCAGTACAGAATGATTCTCAATGAAAGAGACTTGGGAACAGAACCGGCAGCTTCAATCAATATATTTATATTGTTGAGGAAGGGATGGGGTGAAAGGGGAGCATTTCATGTGTAAAGAAATGTGTTCATGTCGAAAAAGAGAGATCAGATCGTACTCGCCTAGATAATAAGAGTAAAACAATGCAAAATAAATTTGACTGCAGACTTCATGTGTCCTAGGCCGCCCGTGGGGCAAGAGGTCGAGTTCACCATGACGGAGGGTTGGAGGTGAAGCGGCACTCGGTGAAGCGGACAAAACCACGGCAAATTTGATCAAATTTGGGGAGTAGATTGGATGATGCTACGTTGCCCAACTTGATGTTGGTGAGGCTGTGCGCCTTCTTTTTTGTATGTGTTGATAGCTCCTCATTTCTCTATGATTGACAGGGTGGTGACACAACAGATGAGAAACAAGAATCTTAGGAATCTAGGTCACATGGGTTAAACTACTTGGTCATTTGGGTTGGTTCGGAGTTCAGTGAACCTACAGTTGGGGAAACCATTCTTCAAACACAGCGTCAAAGTCCCTCAGCCTTTGGTCTCCAAGCCATTGGCTCAAGGTTCTTCTGCTGACTCCTGTATATATATATATATATATACTGTCCTTATTTTTCAGCTCACTTGCCCAGCTGAAACAGCTTCCGAAATTCTGCCTGACTCTGGCCAAGCCCTCAGTGGACCACAAACCCCACACCACCTCGGGAATGCTGAAACACGACAGAGGGCAAGAAACACAGAGATTTAATGAGTTATTGATTTTAATGATACAATATATAGTAATATATATATAATATAGAGAAGCGAAATGTCCGAACGGCAAAGATCAGAGCGCAATCTGAGCGCCCATGCGGCAGCTGATGGTGGGCTTGGGGAACCCTTGGCCGTCCCCAAAGATGGCAAGGCACAACCTGGGCACCATGGTGTTGGAAGCCTTGGCGAAGCAGCCGACCAGCTGAGTCTAAAAGTTTTGATTGGACTGACCAACTAGCAGGGCATTGGCCAACTTTGACACTCCTCCCCAAATCCTCAACACTTGATCATATATGGCATTTCCTTCCTCAACCGTTGGTGTCTTAACTTCAATATATCTCATTTGGCCAAGGAACTCTACAAGCTCAGGTTAGATTTGGAGTGGTCCTGGTGGTGGAGCTGTTGGGGATGGATCGCTGAAGAGGAGGAGCTAGGTGGGATCGGAGTTGGGATTTGTTACTTGCAGGACAAGTCCTTCCCAAGCTTGGAACCTGATCCTAAACATAAAGTGAATCAACTAAGTTAAGCTGACCATTTGGGACCCACTAAACATGGTCGGAACGAGTAACACCACATAGGGAAATAACACGTCCATTTAAACTAGTTTCCAACACTGGCACGAAAACTTGCCTGGATGATTTTTCATGATTTGCCATTTGCTCCACTAATGATGGGTGATGCTGTGGTTCCCCATTATGTGGTGGTGATAGACAAGTTTACTCAAACCTCATTGCAGAGAACAACTCCAGAGCTCGCGGCACAAAGCTAAGCACTCCAGAGCTCGGGAGGCTTCGGCTTCTTTCTGCCCCGGAGCTTTTACAACACCTCTGGCTGGGCGGTGCAGCGTGTCATGGAGCTCCATGGCTTGGAAGCTCATCAGGCGGGACCGGGAGGAGCTGATGGATGGATGGATCGATTATATCTATGAATCTATATGACTATGGTCACTACACATGTTGTGCTGGTATGAACTTGTACTATTGCTTTGAGCTGCTTTGAACATGTTGCGGGGGGCAAATGTCATACATATACAACAGTGCATGATAGAATCAGCAAGATGCAATTTCATACCTTTGCGTCAAACGGGCATCAAGATAGACACATCACACCGTTTGTAGCCATGAAGTGGCATCACAAAAATTACTAGACCAATCCAAACCACTAAAGCCTTGCAAACACTTTGAAGAGGCACGAAACATTCAAAAATACAATTTACATGTTGCGGCATCACTGGCATCAGCAAGACGTCGGTGTACTAGGGATCAACTAGCTTATGGCTTGGTCAACATGGTGAACAACGCTGAGCCAAGCTAGACACAAACCAAGTCAGGCACAATGCAAGAGCCCAACGAACAGAAGTGACAGTGGGGCCACTTGTACTCTTGATGAAGGAACAAATTTCAGGTTTGGCAGCACATCGCTTCAGATCAGCGAGCCACTTGGCAACTGGTTTGGCATACCAGCACAACACACGGCGCAGCAGACCAGCAGCACATAAGCAACAGAAACGTAGCCGCAGCCGCAGCCTCAGCAGCAGTCATGCAGGCACGGAGGCACGCAGTTTTGCTTCTTGAGATGTTGCACGCTTTTGGATTGGATTTTTTCCTTTGGTATCCTTCGGGGTTTCGGCATTTTGGCAAGTCCTTATTGGTGTGGATTGTCTTGGTGCAAGGATGTGCTTGAAAGCATCGTTGGTTGTGGTATCCCTACCCCATAAACAATGAAATGGGAGGGAGACCCTCAAAGTTTAATTATCCTGTTTCATTTTTGGTGTTTTTAAGGATTGCTAGGATTATTTTTCTCACATCAAGACCCATGAAATTAAAATAACCGGCATTCATGGATGTATATCTCACATCATGCTTCCTTGAGCCTGTTCATCCACGTATGCTGATTTTGTTGAGACAATGCGGCAGTTGCCGTACTTTAACAGTTCCAAATGTAGCACGCATAGCCGCAAGCCGGGCCACAGGGCTAATCAGTGTTCAACCACCTGTCAGCGCCATGTTGTGTATTTTAGTAGCCTTCAAGGTGCTTGCAGCCTTAGGACTTGTAGTTGTTATCCTCAAACATGGCATGATAATTCAGTTTTCTTTACAGTCAGAGTTCTCCGAACCTTTGGCAAGCAAGAACAAAAACATCCAAGTAACGTTATGTTATGTTTTGCTAATTAATGCACTGTAATGTAATGTAATGTAATGTGATGGTATGCATGTATGTATGTATGTCTGTATGCAGGTAGGTATGTATTTATTTATGTATTTACCTTTGTAATGTAATGTAATGTAGTGTTACGTAATGTAATGGTATGTATGTATGTGTGTATGTA